GCAGGAAATTGAAATCTTGGACTATACATAGGAGCTTGATGAGGAGGAGTTATCACAGTATTATCCACCTAAAAAAAGCAATTACAACGTTAGATGATATTCAATTTTAATGTGATGATACATGCATCAGGAGTTTCAGAGAACAATGTGTCCGCCATCTTGAAAAGTGGGCCCTGAATCACTGTTTTGCCTTAGAACAAATTTCATAGTTGCTTAGTCAACTAATCTATCATCATAACGTATATTATATTATAAAACTTATTAATAATGCATGAGCTATTACTCCAATAAGGGTTGTCCATTTCATCAGGTGATTGAACTTGTAAATCAGATACAACACTGTGATACAACACTAGTGTTGTATAAGATTTACAACACGGTCGTCACCTTGAGACAACCCAACACTAGCAAAGGTCTCAGTTTTAGTGTCGCATCATAGACCTTCACTAGGTTTTGAAGCAATCAAAGACGGATAACAGAACTGGCTTATGCAACAGATGGCTTGCTTTCCATGTGGGATGGATAATTATTCAAAATGTTCTGTGTTGCAGAAAATTGAGCATGCTTAATAGCGACTCAACTCAGCAGTTTCCTTAATTGCCATTTTTTGTCATTTATCTCACTGTAATTCATGTTAATTTGTGTTGGAGTTTTATAAGTCGTTTACAACATTCGCGTCCGTGTTGTATGGGAATTACAATCTCTCGCCTGCGGCTCGAGATTGTAATTTCCCATACAACACGGCCGCTCATGTTGTAAACATTACTTAAATTTAAATTAACTTAGAACTTTTTAATTTCTTTAGGAGTTATAATTTTAGTGATTTGAGTCTCACTTTTCAAGATGGCGGATGCATTGTTCTCTGAAACTCCTGATGCATGTGTCACACAAATTTTTTTTAATAAGTTTGTGATTGGGAGATCAGAAAAGATTTGCACAATAATAGGCTGCTACCAGCGGTATACATAGCACCGCTTATTTTCTACCTCTTACAGCCAGTCATTTTGTGTCTTAATAAGTATGAGTGAAAATTGTTGGGGACAGAGACGCCTACATCAATCACTCAGATGTTTATTTAAAAAGATAATGAAATCCCTGTTGGCATCATTTAAAACTTACAAAAAACACTAAATACTTAATGCAAACACTACGAAAAAACACTGAATTGAAACATTTTGACCTAAACAATATTGACATACATGAATAATTTTAATATAATAAAATATGCATTTTTTGACTAGCAAGGTCAGCTTGCCAAGTAAAATAATATACATAATAATTATTTTTAGCTTACCTGGGGTGAAGAACGTGGCACACTTTTTGGTGGTGCCTGGTGTATAGTGTTTGCTTTTATTCTTGCCTTGATAATAAAAGAAATGACATCAATTATTGTGAATTTTTTAAATTAAAA